ACACACAATCTGCATTTTATAATAAGTAAGATAATAATATCTTACTTATTATAAAACGCAGATTGTGTGTGAACAGTGACCCAGCTATTAATATAAATGAAAAAATAGCCTACCTAGGTGTTATGGTCCAGGTTAGGACCAAGGAAGAACAACACGAAAACAAGAGTAGAAATAACGAAGGTATATTACATGAAATAATACAAAATGGGGAAGGTGTTAGTATGACTGTCAGTCTGGTTTAGAGTGAACTACTACCGGCTTGACTCGATTCGACCCTCTCTCTTGAGAGGTGTAGTATACATAGTTGTTAGGAAGATATCATTCTGTTGTTATAGGTAAGGACCCATGACACTAGGGCAATGGTACCTTAGTTCCATCAAATATGACACACTTATCCAAGCATCCTTTTTAACTTTCAAAACAGTCTGCAAAGTTCACTTTTGGGCTCTTGTCATTCACTGGCTGATTTGTTACATTCTCCTTAATTTCATTCCATTGTATTTCAATAATGATTTTAACTTTTGGGAACAGCTAGAAATCACACAGCTTGCAAAATATGGGTTGATGACAAACCTGGATGATATGCTTTGCCAAAATCTTACACAAAAAGTGAAGAATGGACAGTAAAAATATTCAAAATTTTGTATACTTTCTGTTCTAGACATCATATGAAAGTAGTTTAGAAACAACATTCACTTCCAAGATCTTTGAGGATTTGGAATGAAATAATTGATTTTCTTTTCTTGTTTCTTTAACAAATACTAATTTTTAATTTATATGCTCTGTCCTTCGAGAATGTAGGCGATTATGGTTCTCTCAGTCATGTGCCATGTGTGATACATGCTTAGGTGATCATGTATCTTTCAATAAATGAATGAAGAGGTAGATTTTTTTTCCCACAGTAGGTTGCCATTTCTTTCTGTGGTAGATCAGTTGCCATCCAATGCTAGAGAACCCGGCCTGTCCTGCTATTTACCCATAGCTGAGGGGACAAGAAGAGGATTCATACCTTTCCCAAAGGTATTAGCACATTAGTGAATGTAATGGATTTGACTGGAATTTGAACTCAGCTCTCCGATTCCTCAACCCAAGCCACTATCTATTACTCCACTGTGCCTCCTACATGGTTCTCTACAGGCTCCTTTATTATTTGGGTATTATTATTTGTTCTATACAGGTTCCTTTATTATTTGTGAATTGCCATGACATTTTAGCAAAGATAGTAGAGTAGGTTTCCTGTTGCCGTTTCCATGATTTTGATTTTAGAATAGTTTTCTTGTAGACTTGGCTACCATGCAAGGCTCAAGAAGCCAGTCTAACCTGCTATCAGTTGGGAGGGGAAAAGGACATTAGTGGGAAGTGAACCACCTGATTTGGCTGTTGCGCTACAAACACATCCAGTACTGATTACTTATGGAAATGGATTTTTATTCTTAGAAAAATGTCTTCTAAGAATTTTTGGTGAAAACTCAAGAAATATTAATTTGGAATGAATTCAGTAATAACAATATTATATATGTTCTTACATACTTATCAAATTTGTTTTGTGTCTGATGTATTTTTTATATTCGGTAATAATTTTCAGAAATCCTGCTATTAAGCATTAAAGATGTCTTTTAAAAGCCATCAATACAGTGTATAATCATCATTGTTAATATATTAGATAAAGTCATGGAGTTTACAATTCAATTACCTTCAACATAGAGAAGGAAATTTTATTTGATAGACGAAAAAAAACTGCAACTGTGATATGAAATAAAAATGAAAATATTGTTGATTTACTAATTAGTTTAAATATAAAAATAAATGTGTAAGTTATAACTGCTCTAAAATTACAACCTTGTGCCAAACTCAGTTCAAGAATGCAATCTCTTGAACTAAAATAGGGAAGTCAAGAAACAAAGCTCAATCTTAATACACATCTGTAATGCCAACGCCTTCAACTGTTTTTGGCAGAAGACAATGGCAAGAACGGCCATTTTTAAGCAGTTTTCAACTGTAGAAAGGTTCAATAGGAAGATATTTAAAATCTTACATAGTGATAAAGAGAAAAGAATTGTGTACATGGCTCTGTGGTATTCAGAGAAGATTAATGCCTTAAGGTTGAGACCATTTTGCCTAAAGTTGGTAATTTTCTTTTTCCATGAGCAACATCATTGAACACCTCTTTTACAGCCAAAGCATGTTCGTTTGTGCAGAGGTCAATGGGTCATCTGTCTTGAACAGAGAGAGAGAGAGATTACTGTCAGGATTAAGATGACCATGCTCAATGTTTTTGACTGTTGTAGGATGTTGTCAGAGAGAGAGAGAGAGAGAGAAAATGTGTAGCAGAAAAAGTAGATAGAGAAAAGAAATATCAAAATGGTAAATTTAAGGAAGACGTCAAAAAGATTCTAACAGAAAGGAAAAGTGAAAGTGTGTAAGAGAAATAGAGAGACAAATAGAAATGAAAAAGAGAAAGCAGGAAGGTGATAAAAAGAGAAGTGGGAGGGAAAGAAAAAGGATAAAATAAATGAGGAGGGAAAAGACAGAAGAGAAGAAAAAGGACAGTGTAGGGGAAAAGAGAGAAAGGAAAGAAGAAAGACAGAATAGGCAAACAAAATGAGGAAAGAAGAAAAGACAGAGTAGGCAAACAAAACGAAGAGATAATGCAAAGATAAAGAATAGATGTGAGGTGAGAGAGAGAGAGAAAAGTGGAAGGAGAGAAAACAAAGGAAAAAATTCTCAAAAAGAAAAAAAAAAAAAAAAAAAAAAAAATTCTGTCCATCTTCAGCAGAATGTCTTAAGATGTAACTAAGTCCATTGCTTACCCAGTACTGGATATGATGATAAACTACATCTGGCAGTAAGGCCTTTGATTGGGAAAATGGAGGTTTTGAAGAGCATGAAATCACCTCTTAATTACTGTTGTTACCAAAGTCCACCCTGACTCAGGGTGGTAGTTCATGTTAGAGTCCCAGCTGTGGACAAATAGTGAACCACCAAACAAAAACTATAAAAGTATAAAAATACCAGCAATACATTTTTATATAAAAAAATATTACCAAAAATACAGTTTTAAAGTAAAATGACCAGAAATACATTTTATCTGTAGTTGAAACCATAAAATTGAGTTCAAAATATTATGTTTGGTGTTGATATGCTGCTAAACAAAATCAACTAACCATTTCTTATATCCTTCCTTATAACAAACTAGTAGCCATACCTAGTTGGTCAATCAGGAAAAGCATTCAATTAGAATAGAGTAAAAACAGCACCAAGTTTAGATGTAACAGAGTATCTTTTTCAATTATTTTAAAGTACTTTCATTAAAAAAAACATTTTGAATTAATGCAGTTACTAATATAACAGAAGTAGTCTGTATTTATTCAGTCAAGTTAGCCGAGGACATGAAGGGGTAAAACAGGCAACATGATGACACACTTCAGACCACAATTATTTTGGAGTTCAGTTTGTCAATGTGCTACCAGGGATGTAAAAAGACACATTTATAAAGCAATTGTTAAGTTTAATGAAAACTAGTTGAAAGATCAATGAAAAATAAGAAAGAAAGCAGTAAAAATCACCATTTTTTTGCTATTTATGCAGGTTTTCACTATATGGGTGGATTCAATTATCAAGTTAAATGACTGTTAAACAATCAACTTATTGTTGGCTACAATTGAGTAAAGTTTGTAGTAGATTGCTTGAAAATTGAGGGAGTTTTTACTTTAAAATTTGTGTTAAAATTGATTTTTTGTTTTTCACAGTTTTTTTGTAAATGCTGAGGTATCATTGATCTTGTCATGAAGTAAGTAACCTACATATCAAGTTTGAACGAAATTGGAGGAAAAAGTTGAATTTATCAATTTTTGATCGGCTTTGTTGATTTTTTATGCTAAGAACCTATCTCTTACATTGTACAATGGATGTGCTAAGTTTGGTCAAAATTGGTTGGATGAATCTTGTGAAATGGTATCACACAGACAGACACACAGACATCCTCTGTTTTATATATATATATATATATATAGCATTGAAAAAGAGAATTGGACTAGAATACAACATAGATAAACATGACACTGAAAGTCAAATGGGGGGAAAATGTTTTCTCCATTTTCAAGAAAAATTTTCAAATGAATTAAGAACTCCTAAATTCCAATGATTCCACATTTATACAATGTCAAATTTCATTAAGACAATTTTTTTTATAGTAATTAGTATTTAGTTTTTAATTTGTATTAACCAACCAATGTTGATAAAATATTCAGGTTATACTTGCATTTCCAGAGAGAAAAAAATGAAAAGAAATTTGTCTGTGTAAGTACTTTAATTAGCTCAATGGTTAGTGATCTGGAAAGTAGAATTGAGAAACTGAGTTCAAATTCTTGCCAAGTCAGTTGTATTCATTTTCACACAAATGCCCTTTGTACAAGCATGAATATATCTCTTCTCTCCCCAGCTATAAGCTAAATAGTAGGGGAGATGAGATAGCCTTGGGTGTTAGCCAGTCTATAAGAAGGATTATAGAATATAAAGCCATAGTGAAAGCAATAGATATATATAATATATTCTTCTAGACTCTATGAATTACTTAATTATGATTATCTCAAATCTTCCTAATAATTTCTATCACTTTATATATATGAAATCTCATTTCACTTGAAACAAAACAATTGAGATAATAAATTATAAGGAGTTACTGAGAAAATGTAATTGAGTTGGTTGATTCTTTCATTTTTTTATGGTGCATCAAAACACCTTGCAGGTTATTTAAAGCTAGGAAATAATTTTTTTAGATTCTAAGAATTTTCTTTTTTGGTGGGCAGAAGGAGATACTAATAGTTTAGTGATACAAGTCTTTATAGTTAACCTCTAGCTGGGGTGAGAAGTCGTACATTCATACCTTTCACTAAGATATTTATGCATAAGTGAATATAACAAACCCAACAGGAACTGGAACTCGGCTCTCAGATTAAAAATTCTGAGCCATTATCCATTACACCACCCACACATCCCAGCTTACAGCACCTGGTATTTCCAAATGGTCACCCATCTAGGTACTGACCAAGCTCAAGGTTCCTTAACATCAATGATCATATGGGAACTGGCTTTTCAGCATGATATGGTGGTAAGCTTTATGTTACTAATGATGATGATGATGACATGTCTTTCATCCCCTTTATTTGAAGTAGGCACCCTGATCATCACACAGACAACATCATAACACCTACAGCAACAGTTACTGCTGCAAGCACCATCCAAGCTCACAATACCCAGTATCTCAAAGTGGCCACAAATCTAGGTACTGACCAGCCTCAATGTTGCTTAACTTCACTGATCATATGGCAAACCAGTGATTGAACGTGATGTGGTTGTATGCTTAATTTAACATTTTTAGACTGTATGATTTTTTTTGGGGGGGGAGATAATAATTGTTTTGTGATACAAGTCTTACTAGTTAACCTGTAGCTGGGATGAGAAGTGGTGCCTTCATACCTTTCCCAAGGGTATTTCCATGTAATTGAAGATAATAAATCCAACTAGAATTGGAACTCAGCTCTCCAATTAACAATTTTGAGTCATTATCCATTACAGCACCCACATGTCCAAGGTTACAGCACCTTGTATTTATAAGCAGTCATCCATCTAGATACTGACCAGGCTCAATATTGCTTAGCTTCAGTGAGTAGACAAGGTCCAGCTTTTCAATAGGACATGGCTGAATGTATGTTATTGAATAGAAAGGACAATAAAGGAACAGGTTTCAAAAAGGCAGAAGATAATGATTGACATTGCATTTAAATATTTGAAAGATCGTAGTGAACAGGGAGAGACTTCCAAAGACGAGCAATGTGATTGATTTGTCTTTTACGGCTGATTGCAGCTTATTTAAAGCAAGAAAATAATTTTAGAATCTAAGAATTCTTTTGAGATGATGATTTTTTGATAAAAGTCCTACTAATTAGTTGGGGGAGAAAAGGTGGATTCATACCTTTCCCAGACAAAGTGAATATAACAAAATTCGACCGGAATTGGAACTCAGCTCTTGATAGAGAAAAAGCATGAATCCATCTCTCCAGCTATGGGTTAAATAGCAGGGTAGACTGAACTCTTTAGCCTTGCATGGCAACCGATCTAAGAGAAGGAAAACTGAATTCCAGAACATGGAAAGGGCAATGGGAAATGACTTGACTATTTTTCCATATTATCTGGAACATATAATAAAAAAGGAAGCCGTAGAGAGCCATAACTTATATCCAAAAGGGCATTTAAAAAAAAAAAAATATTATGTCCAAGACTATCTTGAATTTCTACCTTTAAGAAAAAATAGAGATTGGGAGGAGAACTGGAGAGGCACATACAGTGGTTTATTTTGAAAAGAGATGGAATGAATAGGAGCTGACATTAAATGACATTCCACAATGAGAGAAAGTGACACGGGGTCAATCATTTGTTAATTCTAAAAATCTCATAGAATATAACACATTATCCAAAGATCAAATTTTATTGTGGGCCATCCAGTTTACTAAAGACAACTTCTAACACTCCTCCCCAATGCAGTAGGTTGGGGGGGGGGTCACTAGGCTTTAATTAATTATTGATTTCCAAGGAGTTTATTGGATATAAACTTGATCTCAACCTGATGACTGTTTTGATTTAGCGAAGGGTTCCTTTCTAGTCCAGTTGATCGCAGTTTTAGAGTATCTAATAAACATTTGCAACAGTTCTTCTCTGAATTTATTTAAAGCTGGATATATGTTAACCATATAACTTCTATTACGGTCGCAGTATGAGCAATTGAGATAGGAGAGGAAAATTCTCCAAAATACAAAAGTATGTCACATGTGTATATGGGGGAGCGTATGCCCTCTTAGATCAACGGTTGACATTTTAGAACACAACAGAAAAAGGTTGAAGCATAACATATCAGACACCATGAGATAAAAACTAAACAAATAAAAAAATAGAGAATTATCTGGAACATACATATGGAAAAAAAATATGGTAAACACATTTCATTCTTCAAAATGACTTCATCAGGCTAAATGCTGTTTTTACTGATGAAATCATATCTACCTGGGGATGAGGAGGAAATGAATTTACATCCAGGATCTGTTTATAATTCTGAGATGACGTATTGTAATTATTTACATTACTTACATTATTCAGTCTTTTGTCCCCATCGTTGTTATCATATTCACAATGTTTTGACTGCTATATGCTCTGACCTTTTTCAGGTGATTGGAATTTTGAACTGAACCCTTTATTTTGTCCACTGGAGTAGATTGTTCTAGTTCCACATGCCATCCCTCAAGGAGGTATGGTCCAGTGGATAAAAGTGTTGCTTGAAGTAATTTAGTGACTTAACTCAGAGTTGTGAGTTCAATACCTGGCTACAGCTCAGGTGAACAATAAAACCGGCCTGAATATTTGAGAAATCATATAAAAAAAAGTAGGATTCGAACCTGTGTCTCTCTTTGCAGTATGCAAGAAAAAGAGCACCATGACACAGTTCACTCTGCCAGAAATTTAGAAACACCATGCTGTACTGCTTGGTATTCATGCCAGAAGCTTCAATACAAACATTTCAGAGTGTTTGGGTGTCAATGACAGTGCAGAGGATTCAGAAAGTTGAATGAGTCTAATGGTAATTACAAATGTATGGCAGCTCAAAAAACTCACTCTGATCATACTGATAAGAAAAGAACTCCCGAATTTGTTGATGAGGACCTAAGACTCAACATGGAGGCTTATATCAAGTGCCTTGAGGAAGTATTGCTGCCCTAGGTCAAGAGGGTGGCTGCTGGAAGACCCTATGTATGGCAACAGGACTCTGCACTATGCCACACAAACAGGAGAAGCCAGTCATGACTATCAGAAAATTTCAGCAGCCACATCACCCCTTACATCTGGCTACCTAACTTCCCAGACTGCAACTCTCTTGATTATTATTTGTGGGGCACAGTATAGAGACCAATATAACTCCTTGTAATACCAAAGATGAACTGAAGGCAAAGATTATGGCAGCATTCACCAACTCAAACAAGGAGACCGTCCAGAAGAGTTGCAGGAGATTCCAAAGTTGTCTGTAGGCTGCAGTTGAAGCCAAAGGTGATTTTATTGAATAAATTTACTCTTTAGTATTTCAAAATATCTTTGTGTAATTTCAGTAAATATATCTTAAAATGAGATGTCAGTGTTATTTTCATTTTTGCGTAATTTAGATGACAATTTATCTATCGCACCCTGTATATGTGTAGGGTGTGATGCAATGTCTTGATGAAAATCCCTGAATAAAGCATGAAGAATTTACTTGTTTGGCTCATTATAATTTTAATTGTTACACAGGGTACAAGATCACCCAAAGGTATCTCATTGATGAGTAACCCCATGGGAGAATGGGTGTTAATGCATGCACAGTAAGGTTCCCTCTGAAAAGTTGACAGTTACATCAAGGTTGTGTCATTCATTATGGTTGGGTTTATTCCATATGGACTTTTTATAATGAGAATAACAAAGATTGGAAAATTGAGATCATGAAGAATATGTTTAAGAAACCATGTGAAAGAATGTCAAATACCAAGATATTTAAGCCATATTCCATGATTATAAAAGACATCAAACTGCAAACATTTCTCAAAGAAGCCTTTCTTCTGTTATGGAAATGTTAGACAATTTTCACTGACAGCCAGCCATTTTTCTAACAGGAACAAAAAGCAATAAAGATTAATATATTGCCTCCTGGTGGAAGATTGCAGTCATATAAAAGTAAATGTTGTCATCAAGTATATGATAAATATTACCACCACTTTGAAATTTCATTGGAAACCCTTTATTATCAAGTGTTATCAACTGTATCCCAGAATGCTTTGCAAGCTGATTTTTTTTTTTCACTAGAATACTTAAAGACAAAACTGAACTGAATAAAATTAGCTTTGTTGTTATCAGACCATTTTGGCCGCTATGATCTCCAACCATCATTGTGTGTCTGGCAATTCAGGTAATCTTCAAGGAATTTTGATTGGTTTGTTTTTACAGCATATCAACCTCAATAGGTTATTTAATGCCAACAAGATTTTTATTGCTAATATTTGTTTTCAAAAATGTATTGCTGGCAATAATTTTTTCAAAAATGTATTACTGGTAATAATGTATTATTGGTAATAATTTTTTTTTCCTTCAAAAATGTATTGCTATAATTTTTTTTTCAAAACATTGCTGGTATTAAAACTTATTTTTACACTTTCATAATGTTTTGACTCCAGTTTGGTGGGGGCAACTATTTACCCTTAACTGGGACTCTAACAGGTACTGCCACCCCGAGTCAGGGTGGATCTAGGAATATCACCAATTAAGAGGTGGTTACATGCTCCTCAAACCTCTTGATCAGAGGTCTTGCTGTTGGATGTAGTTTATTGTCATACCCAGAATGGGGATGTAGTTTATCATCATACCCAAGATGGAGGAATTTTGAACTGAACCCATTACTTAATCTACAACATTAGATTTTTCTTATTCTGTTGTCCATGTCTAGGGATGTCTTGTGTAGTTCTTATTTAGTATAGTTCCATTATTGCTTACCCTATTCCAAATGAGTCTAAGTCTACAGGTACCTGGATCGAAAGGCACCTGAAAAAAGTTGGGGTCACAACATATTAAATTTAGTGATAACAATAAAGATGAGGATATTAGTCTGTATATAAAAATACAAATAATCAGAATACTTATTTTGGAAAATGGATCAAGCTGAGAACTTTTCAGCAACCACTTATAAAAATAAAAATTCCTGTTATAGGATTCTACATCATTTTTTTTCTTTTTAAAATAAATGATTATTATAGACCGATTTATTTGAACAGGTGTCCTCATTCTGATTGTTTTAGTCAATATTTTGGGCTTTGTTCCCTCTAATCATCTTCAGGTATCTTCAATAATGTTCTTGGAATTTCAAACAGGAGTCTTAATGCAATCAAAAAGAGTAAATTTCCCTCCTGCTCTTAATGCAAAGAGACATAACTGATGTTAGTTATTCCTTGCAATACCAATTATATTCATTCCACTGAACCAGATTTTACTATTTGATGAGGTATTGAACTCATAACCACTCCAACACTTTATCAACACATT